TTATAGATATAGACAGTGTGGACAGAAGGATAAAAACTGCTTAGTGACTGTCAGTTTCATGCTTCAATGTGATCTTCTGACCAAGTCTTGAGCTGAAGATTGCATTAAAGCTTGAAACTTTGTTGTCACCTTGCAATTTTTATCCCTATATCCACATTATATATATATATATATATATATATATATATATATATATATATATATATATATAATACATAATAAACATTTAAAGACGTGCAAACTATCTATTTATTATAAAGGTCACTATTTGTAACATTTTTTTTTTTTTTTTACAGCTGCTTCACTTTCCTCAACATTTATGACTTTCAACAAAACAACCATATCAGAGTTCAAAGTAAAAATCACCAAAATATTATTAAAATATCTTTATAGTTCAAGGAAATTATTTCTTTACATTAATGTACATTTTTACATAGCATCATATGTAATTAAAAAAATATAAAAATTACATTGACAGCACTTTCAAGAAAACACCAATTTCTAGGATATTGCTTATTTAAACCATATAATCATATCTTTGTGCAAATAATAAAAATTGTTTAAGCCATTTGTGGTTCATCTTAACAATTTGCAATATTTAAAATAGATTGATAAATAAGAACCAGTAACACTTATGCTAATATTTTCAGATTGAGTAACAATAGTTCATAATGTTGAAAAAGTTATAGTTTCAAATTGCACTAGTTAATTGCTTAATAATTATTTAATATTCTATATGACCAATGCAGTTGGTGTGTGCATATACTTATAATAATAATCTTATGCAAATGGTCACATTATGGTAGAATATTCTAATATTGCCAATTAGAGTTAATTAAAAAAAAAGAAGATAAACTATCGAGGAAAATACAAAGTAACCAGTCTGAATTATTTCATATACGACAATTTGTTAAGTACTTTTATTGTTATTTTTCTGAAATTATTAAAATATTTTGTGTAGCATTTTATGCTCCATTCCGTTACAGAATCACTAAGCAGGAATATTATAAACACAACATTGCATTTACTTATGAAGTTTGAGATATGTTCTCAACTAATGGCTCAAGTACAGCATCTTTAAGCCCGAAAACTAAACGGGAGACAAAGAAAATTTAAGCATTTAGAAAATTGTTACAGGAAAGTTTTCTCTATATCTAGGAAAAAAAGAACATTTTTAATTCATCTTCTCTTTTTAGAAATGACCTAATGGGCACTCTTCCTGTAAGTGTACAGGTGTTAATTAAGTTGGGATTTTGAAAAAAATAAAAGATATTATTAATTGATCTTTCTATCTGTAATGTACAAAGCATATAATATTGATGTGACTTTAGTCTTGTGGAATGATCAGAGATCTTGTGCATCTAAATTATGTGCATTGATTGAAATCACACTACAAAACTATGCACATATAAAATACACTGAATCACAAAGACATGCACACACCCACACACATAGACTTTAACGATACTTTTTTTGTACACACTACTATAAGCTTTCCTTTGGTTCTCAGTCTTCATATTAAGAGTTATAGGTAGGAATTGCTATTAAAAATCTGTTAAGTTGAAATCACTGAATTAATTTAATTCTGCATAACTGAATTATCATGATGTTGGCCACTAAATGATGCATTAATTGCAGCTAATGTTAATAAGCAAAATAAGAATTACAGAAATTCTTTGAATCTTATTCTTTTGAATTGGTAATATTTTAAAAATAAGTTTTCCCTTAATGTGACTTCATAAAAATTTCAGGTAATGTAATTTACTGAAATACAATCTGTATTTTAAGTAGTTGTAAATATATTAGAAACAGTAACTGCTTAATTTGTATTACTGAGCAATTTGTTTCAGTAAAGAATACAGTAAATACTAAGTTTGTGCTTATCCCCTTCTTTTATTAATGATATATATATTTATATGTGTATATATATTGATGTAATAGGAAAGAACAGTTAGATTAATGATCCAAAGTTCTTTAGTGCTTATGTTTTTATTTATGACTCCATTGCAACACAGAAATTAGTATGTTTTGAAACTGAAACTCAAGTCCTAAAGTTAAATTTTAATATTAAAATTAAAATTTAGAGAACAATTTCATTCTCCAAAAATTTGACATATAATAAAGATTCATACTTTCATCAAAGTAGAGACGCCTTGATAATGAAAGAGAAAACCCCAGATTGCACCCCCATTTCCAACCTATAAATGAATAAACATTTCTTTGGTTAGTTATTCTAATCATCGTTTGAGAATGAAATTGTGCTCTAAATTTTAAGTTTAATATTGAAATTAAACTTTAGGACTTGAGTTCCAGTTTTGAAACAGTAATTTCTGTGTTGCGATGGAATCATATTTTAAAAAACAACTTATAAATTATAATATATATATATATATATGTAGAGGGCCGAATTTAGATGAAAAGAGGCCCTAAGCTATTCCACTTGTGAGGCCTCTCCAAATCCCCCATTCTCATAAAAATGGAATGTTAAATTAATTTGAGTAAAGCTAAGGATTATGAGTGGTGTTTAAAATTATTGAATGGTTATTTAGAGTCTATAATGCATTATGACATCATGTGTAAGAAAGGCCTATGACAGTGTCAAAAATATTATACACCTTGGCTGGAAACCCCCTAAATTTTGAGTCCCTAGGTTTCAGCCTAATAAGCCTATAGGTAAATGCAGTACTGTATATATATCAGGGGTGGCCAAACTATGGCTTGCAAGCCACATGCAGCTCTTTGGCCTTGAATATGTAGCTCATGGAAATTTGTTGGTTGAGCTCATTTTTTCATCACAGTTAATATAAAAGGTAAATAAGAAAAATTTCAAGCTTTTTAATTATTTACTGCATTTGAATTGAGACTCCATTGTATTAAAATGTAAGTTTAATGTTAATATGTATGTAACAAAAATGTATGTGTAAATTTTGTTTATGTCTTGCAGCTCTCAAACATCTGAACTTTATCGTATGTGTCTCATGCATTAAGCAAGGTTGGTTGCCCCTGATATATATATATATATATATATATATATATATATATATATATATATATATATATATATAATTGTGTATTTGGGCAGCAATCCATTTTTATACAAGTTTTGTTAAAAACGACTAACAAGGTACTGCAGTTAAGTTTTTTATTTAATTTATCTTGTGTTCTTATAATTTTCTTATTTTCTAGACTTAAATTATGTAGAAATTGTCTAAATGTTTTATATGTACAAGTGCTGTCAGCTATAGTTTTAGTCATTATCAAGATGATTTTATTTTTACTTTTAACCGAATGTATGGATTGTGTTATGTATGTATCTAGACTTATAGGAATGGCTAATGAATAGTTAATGAAACTCAATAGTGCTTGTACATGAATATATATATATATATATATATATATATATATATATATATATATTAGGATAAACTACAGATCAAATATAGATAAAAATCTGACAGAATGATAAGATAAAGAACAAATTGGAAATGCTTATCAATCTGACATATTTCCCTTTTATTAATTCTCTGATGAAGCTTTAAATAAAGTGAAATATATTTGGTTGTTAAATGTTCACTATTTTTTCTTTATCCTATCATATATATATATATATATATATATATATAAAATATATGTTCATTAAAATTTTATCAGAAGGTCTGTGTTAGCTAGCTTTGAATTTTTGATAGATGATAATATAATGATATATAATCAAACACTTTCTGCTTAGATATTTCAGATACATATTTTGAATTCTAAAATTAAAGGTTGTAATATTTCAGCAAGAAAAATAATCTTATCATTTCCAATAATAGGATGACTTATAACAATTAACCTTTTATTGTATCTTATTTTATCATTTACCAGAAATTTAAGATTTCTCAATGTGGACAAAGTGAAGAGTGGAGATTTACTGATTATTAACCGTAACCTGAAAAGGAGTGTTTAAGACCAATAACAAAATTTGAAAATTGATTAAAAAATTGTTTTATTGCATGTTTAGATAGATAAGAAATCTGAATCCTACGGAGATGAAGAGTAGTGACATAAAATGTATTTGATAATCTTAAGACTACCAAGTCCCCATAATTTCAACTATCAAAAGTCAAAAGTGTTTTCTTTTCTTACTAAAATGAAAAGTAAAAATACATTTTCAGTAAATTTTGATAATGAAAATATTTATAGCAGTATGAATAGAATGTTCCTTAGTATTAAATTTTGTCATTATAATATTATATCATTTTTTTAAAAAAGAACATCTTTCTGTTTTTATTCATCTATCTGACTATTAAAATTCAAAGGTTTTAACCTGCTTGCAATGTGGTGTGTGGTGAAGTCAAATACTTAAGTATGTTTTTCTGTTTTTTCAATAATCAGTTAAATTAATCTTGACTTTAGCCTACATTGTTATATATATATATATATATATATATATATATATATATATATATATATATATAATGTTACTGTTTCCTTTAGTTTTAATACTTTCCCAGTTTCTATTTTTTAAATCCCCAAACTAAACACACTCAATTGGTAGTTATTATTTGATAATATGATATATATTGTGATCACAAAACAATATTAATTTTAAGGAAAGTTTTGCCAAAAATCTGAATGGTAGTTCTGTGATTACAAAACAAACATACTTCAATAAATAACAAATATCAGTAGAACAACTAACTAAGTTCTATCAATAAACTTTCTATGTAGTCCAGAGTTACATAGTTGATATTATTTTAATTTTCTCAGATCAGAAAGGTAGCAGTAAGAGAAAAAAAGTGAGAGAGAAAAAAAAAAGCAAGAATTAAAGTTACATTGTAAACAGTAGAAGTTTCAATTTTTAGGCTTAAGGAAAAAAAAAAAAAAGAAAAAAAATACCCAACCCAATAAAAAAAAAAAAACAACAACAATAACAACAACAAAAAATATAAACAAATAAACTTAGTCATCAAATTTGGCTGTCTTCTGCAGAAGTAGTATTTAGGCTTAGAAAGACTTACCTTTCATAATGACGGAACTCATCTTGCTCAATGACTTGGTTGAACCTTTGCTACTAGTAGACATGGTGGGCTTCAGATTCTTCACATCTGACATCGAACTGGAATATCTCCTGCCCTCACTTTTGAATTTAAACTTATCGCTCACCCTCCCTACGTCTGCCAAGGACATTAGGGACATGTTACTATATCTTGATTTTATCTTGCTGCTTGTCCCTTTCATGTCTGAGAGAGAGTTGGTTCCATAGCAGGTTTGCTGCTCAAAGATCCTGTTGCTCACTCCTCGACCCACATCAGTGAGTGAGGTGGATGATAATATGCGCATCTTCTGATTGCGCAATTTGGTGCTACTCGCAAGTACCACATCTGCAAAACTGGCTCGGCTATACGGTCTATGTGCACCGTAGGGAGGGGAGCATTTTTTACTGACAGATTCCATATTGGCCAAAAAAGAAGACATGCTTTGTACTGATTGTGTTGATGATCTTGGGTGCCCTGATGCTGCTTCTCCGGCCGATATATTTGTTGCTGTTGTTATCATTGAAGACGAGGAGATTTTCCGTTGAGGTGATGCAATTTCATTGGAGGATCCTAGGTGAGTTGTCGGACTGAGGCTGTTCTCCGACAACTCTGATGTTTCATCACTTTCTATCTCAGCCACTGGTGCCAAAAATGATTGCTTTCGGCAGGGTGGTTGCAAAGTCTCGGTTTCACTGTTGCTGTTTACACATAGGGAGCTTTTCCTGAATCTCATTTGTTGTGGTTGTTGTTGCCATGAAATAACCTCTTCTATATAAGGGGAATCAGCAGAGGTTTCTTTATCACTTATCGTTGCATAACTTTGGGGTCTCACACATTTTTGCAATTGTTGCTGTAGTAATTGCTGTTGCAAGATTTTGCTCTCTTCATCAATATTGGAACTCGATAATTTCCTCATGATGTTGTGCTGCATAGAAATCTTCCTTTGACACTCCAGTTCCGCGGAAATATCTAAATCGGACGATGGAGTCTGCTGCAATTGCGGAGCTAGTGCTGGAGAGGTACTGGCAGTTGTGTTTTTGAATGTGATGCGAAAATCGGAAGATTTTGTAATCTCCTGACTCAGCCTTGCTCTATCCAGATATATGCTTGTATCATTAATTGATGCAGGAGATATTGCAGAATAGCCATGTGACAAGGAGCTTTTATCAGGAATTTCAGTGGGGGTCATTAATGGTACAGATTTTCCATATTGCTGCTGTAGAGGTGTCTTCTCTTCAGATTGGGGCACTAATAGATCCACGGGTGTTCCATAGCTTTTCAAAAGGGGGGCCTCTTCACCAAAGGTTTTTATGTCGGTTTTTTTCCTTTTTTCAAATTTGTGGTCAACAGAAGAGAATGCTTTCGCACTGGATGATGACTGCTTTTGCTGAGATCTAAGTCTGGAGGCGATATCTTCATCGGTATAAGTATTGAACAGGTTCTTGTACTTCAAATCTTTTAAGGCCTGTTCAGTAATGCCGTATGAATTGACTTGCTTAGGTTTCTTTCTTTGTGGCTTTTTCAAACTCTCAACAATTTCTGGTAAGTTTGGAATCATCTTACAGTTAGCATCCAGTGGAATAGGATCAGTGGAGCTCTCAATGAAGATGGGTGGGTTGAACAACTGCTTTAAGAGTTGGGGTTTCCAATACTGGCTGCTGGTAATCTGAGCAAGAAGTGAGTTGGACAGCTTTTCACACTTCGCTGGTACAGATTCTTTGGTTACGCAACACTCAACATATGTTTCTGAGTTGGGCAGCGCACCACGCTTCAGTTCCACTGATGTTGATTTTTTGGTGACCTTTGGGTCTTCAGGAAGAGAGATGTCTAAACTTTTAACCTCTACTTCAGTAAAAGGATTGGAGAACGTTACATACTTGCCGCTTGGTGTCCTGTCGCCTTTTTCTTTGTTCTTCTCTGTATCTTTATCGAAATTTGATTCTGGACTTAAAGAATCTGTTAATGGGAGGATGTTTCTAGTTCTAATATCCATAAGTGATGTAGATAATTTCCATTTCTTCTGCTGTGCCTCGCTTCCAATCATTTCAACATCTGGGAGAGAATGGAATGACTTCCCAGCCTTGCATTGCTTGGATATCTTGTTACTGAGGTTCTCGCTAAACGCTGTCTCTCCATTTGGGTTTTTGATTCGGAGAGTAGCAAATCCTCTAAAGGATTCTGGCAGTCCTCTGTCACATGACTTTCTGCAAGTTTCTGAGCCTTTCCTTTTCAGAGTTCCAGATCCATCCTTTTCTAAGCTGCGCATGTTTGGAAGCGATGGAGACGGTCCTATTTGAAATCTGGCCTTCTTTGTGACAGCCACAACATCTGGCAGGGAGTAATAGAGCTTGCCTGATTTTGCCTGCTTAGAAAGATGATCGTCACAAGATATTTTGGAATTTTTGCCTTTTGAGATGGATGACGAAAGGTCCCGATACTGACCGTCCAGCATAGGGTCATTCATATTGATGTTATGCTGTAAAACATCTAGGCCTGCTGCTTGAGATTAATAAATAGAGATATTAATAAAAAAACAAATGGAAAAATCATTAAAACAACATTTGTGTCAATATTGATACACACATGATAGGCTTGTAAAACACATGATACACACATGGTAGGCTTGTAAAACACATGATACACACATGGTAGGCTTGTAAAACACATGATACACACATGGTAGGCTTGTAAAATAAGTGACAAAGAAATAGGGAATAGTTTGATTATCCAACTTTCTTTTTGTTTTTATAAGATTGCAAAATTGAACCAAAATAATTATAATTAGAGTAAAAAAAAAATACAGAAGCACACTATGGATATTATTCACACACCCAAAATAATAAAAAAAAAAAAATGTAACAAAAATTATAGAAGATAAAAAAAGTCATTGCTGAGAAAACCTGTTGAACACTTAAATTATTAGCAAGTTATCAAGCTATCCAATTGGCCAGTTAATCAATTGAAAAGATAATAGAGAAAAAAAGAAAGATGGAAAAGTAAGAAAGAAAAAAAGAATAGGAAAAGAATAAATTTTGTGAATGTAAATTCTATATTTTTCATAAAGTTTTGAAATTGAAAGAATGACATTTGTGAAGAGGAAGAACATTTCAATAAGAAGACTGTTATATTGTTTAAGTGAGTCTGTGATGAAATAATTTTTAATTATTATCACTGTACCATTGTATAACACCCAAAAACAAATTTGGATGTAAAACTGAGTTTAAGATCAATTTAATTTATAAAAAAGTATTAGTGTTACAAAAGTTGAAAAAGTTCTAAATCATCATATAAAACCTTATTCTTAGCAGGCATTATAGAAAGAAAGACAAGAGATACACTTTAAATGTCCCATGTAAATGATATTGGAAAAAATGTTTAAAAAGATGTTTCAGAAAATAGACACTACACAATAACTCAAACTAAATTTCATGAAAGTTGCCAAATGAAATAAAAAAAGTGCAAAGAACAATCTGAAACTAAGACAAAAGAGTCATCAAAACAAAACTATTCATTTATTTGTACACTAAAATAATTTACTAATCTGAGAGAAGATTTAAACATAAATGATTACAATTTTCTCTTCTTCAATTTTCAATCATGCATCACAAGCGACGAGTGTGATAAGCTTATATTCTGCAGTATTTCATTTACAAACAGTTCCAATTATACTTTTCAACTTTCATTCTGTGGACAAGCATAAAACTGGCTTCTTCCAGCAATTTCATATTAATATCAACTGTACTTTCAAAAATCATGATAAACTATACAATATTATTATTTGTGTGTATGTGTGTGTGTGTACTTGACAGTAACAGTGGAATGAACAAAACCCAAGGCTCAAAATAACTGTTTGACAACTTTTATTTATGGTTGAATGGAAGGGCAAAATAGTAGTATTTTGTTGGAAAAAAGTGGATTTTCCCAGTTAATAAAGTTCTTGAGTAGTTGTTTTTGTTGAGACAGATTTCTCTGCTAGTTCCCATGGGAGAAATGAGAAATTGGAGTTTGAAACTGCTAGGAACAGACCTCATTTTCTGCAGTAAGGATTGTGTGAAGTTTTTTCTTTGGGTAGGTATCTCAAAGGGAGATTTCTCCACCGGTTCCCACAAGGGATGAGAAAATCTAAGTCATGCTGCCAGGACAGGCCTTGTCTTCTGCAGCAAGGATTGAGTAGCCTTTCAAGCTGGGACTTGAAGGTTGTGACCATTGAAAATGAAAAGTGGGAAAAATACCAGATATGGCTCTGTCAGGGCTTTTATGAGTTTTGGGACTTCCAGTTGTACCCTGCTGGTTATTTCTGTTGCTGTTACTGCTGAATTGAGCAAAGTAAGGAAGCCCCCACATGCCACAATAGCCATCATGTGAGATAGTTTCTATACATTTTAAACATGCAGACTCAATATGGCTGACTGATTAAATCAAGTGAAGAAACAAAAATTGATTTTGTTCTTTGAGCTAGATAATAAAATATTGAATGAGGGTTTTGAGTAGCATGCCAACAAAATATTATATGAATAACATTAAATTTTTGTTCTTTCAGAGTTTTCTTCCAAATTCTTCCCAAAAGATTCAGGGTTTATAGATTTGTGATATAGTATATATTAATTACCTGCCACTCTGAAATTGTGCAAAATGCAGATTGTAATGTATTCAGAGCTTTCTCAAAGCAATTTTATATCATTAAGTTTTTTTGTCACCAATTATTATGCTGATTCAATTTTGATCACCAATGATTGAAGTTGGTACCACTTGTATATAGGTGAAAATTTTTTTTTTATCCAATATGAGAACCAAGAGCCACTCAAGGTAGAGGGTTACTGTGTGGACTTATATTAACAAAGGAAAGGACAAGTGTTAGGAGTACAGAGCTGAAGTAGACTTTAAAAGGAACCAGAAACCCAATCCTAAACAGGAAACAAGAGATAAACATCTACTTCTGTTCAAAAGAATGGGGAGGAATGTGAACCTATCTACTCCTGCTACTGATGTGTTCAACTATTTTATGACTGGATGTTATATCCACATTGTCAGCTGTCATGTTATGACTTCCTCATGGTGTAATATCAATAATAATAATATATGTAGAAATAAATAGTTTTTTCATGTTTCATTTCTGTTAAAATAAAATATAGATCTGGTATGCAAATGAAGACTATATACATTTATTGCAATGAAAGATCTGATTGTAACTTTCAGGTTACTGTTTAACTCAATTAAAATTTGTTTACATATTTGATATAAATGCATACGTTAAAACCTAAATAAAATAAAAACATACAATGGAAGTATTTTTCAAGTAAAATATACTTGAGCAAATATGATTTTTACTTAAATTAACTTCTTTTGAGAGAAAGGTCTGGATAGTCATAACCTCTTTTAACTTACTAAGTTACTTAGTAGAAAAGTATATTTCTAATATTGTATATGTATAAATTTGGTCTTAATGAAGTGTAATTGGACAATCACTAAAATTAAAATTTGTAGTTTATCAGGAATAACAATCTATATTCTATTATTTTGATTGTTTTGAGCCATAAAAAAGTTTTAAAAATATTCAAAATCTTCATATTGATATGTTTTTAATCATACTGTAATCATTTTTTTATATAAAAAGAGAAAAGATTGAATTTTGAAGGATTAAACTTTTAAAAATATCGTACAAAAGTATTTTAAAAATGCTAATGAGGAGGTACAGTAGAGATAGTGGCTTGGATTGAGGAATCAGCGTACTGAGTTCAAATTCCAGTTGAATACATTACATTCACTTATGTTTTAATACCTTTGGGAAAGGTATTAATCCTCTTCTTCTCCCCCCAGATATGGGTAAATAGTAGGACATGTTCTATGGCAACTGGTCTACCGCAAGAAGAAATGGCAACCTACTGCGGGAAAAAATCTGCCTTGTCAGTCATGTATCAAAAGATACATGATCGCCTAAGTGTGTATCACGCATGGCACATAACTGTCTAAATGAAGTTTGTATAACTAATTTCATATTTGCTTTGAGCAGAATTACTTATATGCAGAAGTGTTGCTATTTATATATTAAATTTTTCTTGGCAATACTCTCAATTTTCTGTATATTATTAGATATTTAATAATTAGATATATTATATTAAATCAATTGCTAGGTCCACTGTTAATAAAATTGGTTCACTGTGTTTTGGTAGACAGTTAATAACTCCAGAATCTGTCTTATTTATAAGCTTACCATTTGTCCATGCTTTGAAAAATTGCTGTCATATATAGTCTGGTGCTCCAGCTATATATTTAGAGATTCTTAATAAAATCTAAAGAAGAATTTGCAATATTATTGGTCTGGACTTGACATCTCGGCTTCAGTTACTTTCCCACTGCTGTAATGTAGCTTCCTTGTGCCTTTTCTACAAATACTTTTATGATAATTTTTGGAGAAATTCTTCACTATGGTACCTAGACTTTATGAATTTAATCACAGTACTAGATTGGCAGCAAGGTCTCATTAATTTACTCTTGAATTGGCTTGGTGCACCTGTAAGTTTTATGCTAACAGTTTCTTCTCTTGCACTTCTCAATTATGGAACTCTCTTCTGGTCCAGCCAACTTTGATCTTCAAAAATTTAAATGTCAATCATAATCTACTGTCTTCTTGATGACTCTTCTTTTATTGTTCTTGCTTCTTAATAATGTTTTTTTTTTTTCTTATTTTTCACACTTTAGTAACTCTTTGTATCTTAGTGGCTTTATTGCTTTGCTTAGGATAAAGTAATTAAAAAAATTCTAAAACAATTAGATCTATCATTGTTTACTTAAATGTTATATTCTAACAATCAAATGACATACAGAAGCAATTCTTTTCTTTCATTAATTAGCCTCTATTTTTACCTGTGATACTTTTGGCATCACAATTGTTTTAGATTTCTAATTTTGTTTGTAAAAATAGTTGAACAAGCTATATCAGAATTCTTTCTGCTACTTTATAAAGATTTGCTTCACATCTGAATCACAAATCTATACTTTATGTCTTTATGAGTGCAAACAGCTGGTTTCATTACTATAGAAGATAAATTTCTAAAAGTGATCAAATTGGGTAAGTATTCAAGGTTGATAAAATTTGGCTCTCAGAAACCAGTGGAAATTAAATCAGTCTAGTGAAATGTTATATATTTTCTTTGGTATATTGTTTAATAAAATCCTATCATTTTTGTAATGATAACCATAACATATATCATTAATATTTGCTAACTTTTCACTTCAGTTATGCCGCATACATTTCAGTTCATTTTTAATCTAAAATTTATTAATTAAATTAGTTAAAATTAAATGAATTTTATTAATTAATAGGTACAAATAAATGTGTGTTTTGAGTTGTTTTTCCCATTTTATTGATTTTAATTATTACTAATTCCCAAACTATAAATACAAATTAATAAAATGTATGCAGTTAAATTTATTTTATTCTACTTTTCAATT